CACGCGAGGCTCTTTTACAAGGTCTTTACAATTCCCACCTCTTGATCGCTTGAACCAACTTCAAGCTGTCATAAGACGCATCTTTCTTTGATCATATAGTTTGAGCTTCTTCTGTAGATTGAGAGCCGAGATAAAATTCAAAAAGTAGTTGTCGAAAACTCACTTTTGGGTCGACCCGAATTTCCCTTTCAATGAAATAAAAATCGACACAAGTCGAGAAATAGTGAAGGCAATTACACTGTCTTATAGTGCGGAAAATTATCTATCAAACAGTGTGGAGCATATTGGGAACAATTGTCATTTTCCATATAAAAATTTGTGTGACAAAAAACGCCATTACTTATGGGCCAACCTAATAGAATGGGGCTTGAATTTGGAATTTACCAATGTTTGAAGGGTGCCTTACCTAAGGCTCTGTTTCGGAGGTGATCATATTGGCACCGCTACTTCACCCATACCACTGCTGCACTCTGCCTGCGAATAAGCTCTGCTTTGACATGGCACTAATGGGGGAGGTGGTCATCGTTTTCATAGAAGCTGCCCTAGAAGGGGAGAAGGTCAGGACAACAGAAATTTGCTCTCCGTCGTTCGGATTTTTCTCACTTTTCCTTGGCCTCTCGAATAGAGCACCGGATTTCATGTAGACAACAACATCGTGATATTTGTAGTTATTTCCGGTCAAACACTGTCTATTGTCGCCATTTACGGCCTAGAAACAGTCACTCTCGGGCGCGAAGTCGCACGCGACTCCTACAAGCGCGGCGAATTGCGATCGTCCTGTCACATACCTCCCCCGGGAGCACTTCGTCTCTGTGGCGATTAAAAAACCATGCATAAAATTTGAAATTTTCAAAGTCGAACATATCAGCAGTGCCCTTTGGCCGGTTGGTACCATGTTCAACGGGTGTATAGCTTATGGCTGCCCATCAGTCATCAAACTGGTAACGGGCAGCTATTTCTGTTTTTCACACTAATTTGATTCTTTTCAGACCGGTGGCTTGGGACTCATTATTCTGGGCACGGTTCTGCAGTTGAAATTTGCTGGGGTGTTGGATATATTAGGTGACGAACGGTGAGTAGTTGAAGTTTTGACTTTTTTAGACTCGCAACCAGATTTATTTTTTTCCTAGGAGCCAATCTAATCATAGCGAGGAACCTAGGTAACTATAAGTGATCGTAGGCTCTGCCTTTAAACGTGTGGCTGCTCTAAGGCTGTGGCACAAAATACCATCGAGGGATAGGGCAAAAGCGGCCCCCGTGGCGTAAAGGATAACGCACACGCCATTTAGTGTGAGGTGCTGGTTTGAGTCCCCTCTGGGATCTGACTTTTGCCCATGACTCAGCACTCTTGTGATATTTCAAGGTCGAATACGACCTTCCTCTTGAGTTTTGCACAACGATGATGTACCCAGCATGACAGGTGGACATGATGCCGGCAAAAGGAGTCCCTGACTAGAGGTCATTGTCCTCTCCTTGTAGAGGTTCTCCACTTAACAAGCAAAAATCGATGATAAATGCGCGGAGGATTTAAGTACCCTTCTCGCAATATTCAAGTGCTTATGTCACATGGCCTCATTCATGACCCTCAAAAGTTGGAAGTGCAGAGGCAGAATTTATTATAGTGCTAGTGGTGTTCACAAGAGGAAGATGAGGAATAGGGCTCGAAGCTGGAAAAGACGTCTCTGATAACTCGTCCAAGTTTCAGAGCAATTTGTCTTTCCATCCTCCAATGAAAATGGGAAATAAAGGTAAATGTCAGTGCCTAAAAGCTTATTAAACTAGGCCGTCCCACGTTCTCGCGGAAATGTAATCAGCTTCCTTCTCAAAGAAATTCCTGTTTTGAGTTGAAGTTCAAGAAAGCACAGATCTGCCCTTTCCGTTATTTGCTTTTGACAGCCGCCTTCCCAAACGTTTCCAAGAAATTCTCATGGCTTGCGTCAAATGCTGTATGTCCGCTTTGAATTAGCTGACAGCAGGACATCTGACAGTGCAGACTGACATACGGCTTACTTCGATGATGAAAAAAAAGTTAGAGATGGCTATCGTGCTGCTACCCGCTGAGAAGGAATCTCGAGAAAAACTCCGACTCCTGGCTGGAGATCTTTTTGAAAGCGAAACAAAATCCACGAGTTTTTTCGAGTATTCTCACAGACTTGCTTTGGATAAAGATTCGCTGCGACTATCACGAAAAAATTCTCTATCACTCGAATCTAGCCCAACTAGCCAAAATCCTACTGTCCATGGAAATCGAAAAACTTCTTCCATTCAGTTAAAGGCAGTTGGCACGATAATTTGGTACACAGCTAAATGCTAGCGCGGTGCCATCTAGTGGGGAAAAGGCGAAAAAACGAAGTGAAACGGTCGAGAACTGCGAAGAGAAGCCTTCGACTTGAAGAGCAATTTCGGGAGACGAGGTTCCAGTAAGGTCATAATGGGCAAAAAAATAACCGCAAAGTAGTTTTACGGCTGCATGTATGTTGCATTCAGGACGCAGCCGCTTCAGTACCAATTCAATTCGCTCCCATATTCTTGCATTAGCAATTGAAGCAAAGAAGCATCAAAGCAGTGGGTCATCGATTGTGTGGGCGACGGTGGCATGGTGGGCGTTGGGTTGCTGATATGTGTAAGCTTGCGCAGGGCCCTAATGAGGGTATCTTTCTAAGGAAAGAACCGCTGCGCAGTCGGCCTACTCAGGGGTCGCACCCTGCCAGGCAATATCAATCGACTCGTCTTTTGGGGAATTATCGTGGCGAACTGCCTTTAAGTTTGATGGTCGCGGACTTGCATAGCTTGTGACCCATTACATGAGTAATCAGGAGAGTTTCGGTCAGGCCATTTCGTGATGACATGGGAATCTGAGCAAAGTGGCTCAATAGTACCATTTCGCTGATTCACATGGGCTCACGGATGGACCTATAAATTAACATGGACTAGCAAAAGGAGATGACGAAAGTTCAGGTGTCGCCTTCAAAGCCGACAGCGCCCTGCGGCTGGAGAATAAGGATAAGAGTAAAGTCTCTGCCGCTGATAAATCTCTTTGCGGGATGCGGCACGCATTCTACTTCTATTCAGAATCGTGGTGTCATTTAATGAGATTGACCTAAAACAATGACCTGCGGGAACCAACCGAATGTACAAACCACTCCAGACGAATCTGGTACCAATTCACCGTCCCCGGAGGGTAGAAGGCTTGGTTGGCCTGGGCGGGAGTCGACCCGGGATTTGAACCCGGGACCGCGCGAATGGTAAGCGCGTCACTTGTAATTACACTACCACCTCCGCCTCTGCGCGAAAAAGGCCAAAAATCAAATAACAATTTGAGAGACTGGATATTAGCGAGCACGGTGGCGATCCACACCGGTGGTTCCGCGCAGCGATTCTATACGACTCAGTTTAATTGTTGTTGTGGATTCCGTTCCTCATTACAACTTATTCTTCCCAAACAGAGTTTCTCGTAGTCCTGGTTGTCCCAGATTACAGCCATCTTGAAATTCTTGTACAATTTTGTTGAATTGTAAATATGTAGTTCACTGTAAGGATTTTCATGTATAATGTTTTGGAAAATTTTTCTTGCCACCTCTTAACTGTGGCTTGAAACTCTTTGAATTTTTTTCAGAGAGTGATTTAGTTGTTTTCAGGTTAGCAACGCCAATAATATTATTAGCATTTGGAACGCTTTGCACTCTGTTAGGATTTCTTGGTTGTTGTGGAGCAATCCGAGAAAACTACTGTCTTACCGTATCCTTTGCCGTGCTGCTAGCACTAGTCATTGTAAGTGATTCTTTTTCATGTTTTTTTGTTGTAATCAGAAGTATTGGAGACTCCACAAGTAGTTTAACACGATCGAATTCACGCCCGGTTTGTCGGAGGACTTCATGGACGGCTGTCTCTTGAGAGAAATAGAGACTGGCATTCACATGCTTTGAAAATTGTTCTATTATTTTCCATTGCGCTCCTTTCTTTCTCCCCGTTCTCAGACTGTACCTTTGATAAGGTAGCGCCCGCCTTTCAATTTTAATGTTCCTACGCCGCCATTAGATATCGTAGCTGTTGTCTGACCACTAATTTCGCAGCTCAAAAATACGAGAGGATGGCGCCACCCGCTTGTGAAGAGGATGCCGCCCCGCCCACCTGGCTGCCATAACTGCTTTGGCTTAGCCTTTAAAGGCTGAGCCCGCTTTCAAGAATAATGAGTTATGGAGCTCATATAATACGTGATCCAGTAGTGAAGAAAAAGCAGAAAAAAATCATGGAAAATGCCCTATATAGAACCCTATGCTGGCCAGGTGGGCGGGGCGGCCGACTCTTCACTAGCGAACGGCGCTATCCTCTCGCCTTTTTGAGATGCAAAACTAGTACATACTGCATCCTCATAGGGAGGGCTATGATATCCAGAGAGGGCGCGGGAACATCAAATGACGGGCGCAGCCTTTACCCTGTGACCGCTCTACTACTTTTGATGAGGCGGACAGAAAATAAGTTGAGTTTCAGATGATTGAAACAGCCGCAGTGATCACAGCCTATGCACTTAATGAGGATCTACGGAGTGGACTGTCAACTCAGTTACAAGTAAGCAGCTTTCCTCTTGAAGAAGATGGCGAAGTCTCTCTAAGGGCGCACAATCACTTTTTTGTGACTATCCTAGACACTTCCAACTTTTCAAGCTTTACGATCCCACCATCTGCTTGATTTGTTTCGGAACTACCTGAGGGAGCAAAAAAATCGGCCCTGGTTTAAGCTGAACTTGTAGGCGGGAGATGCTTTCAGTAGCCATTGGGACAACGCATTCGAAAGAAAATAGCAATCATGGAATCCTTCGCCCTCCTACTTGATTTGTTTAAAGTTGGTAGCTAAACCATTCTGTACACTATCGTGCCAGCCCCCTCTTCCTCTATAGCAAATCCCCATTTGCACTTCCTTTTTCTCCGCTAGAACCACCCCGGAGACACAAAGAGAGGTACTTTCTCATGCTAATCAGTCGTCGATCTCAGCGTATTTCAGATGGGCCTGTCACGCTATAATCGCAGTAGCGGCGTCCAAATGGCATGGGACCAGACGCAACAAGTGAGTCACAATCATCAGTCATTGCTTAGGCATGCATGCACGGGTCACACCAGGAATATGTGGGAGATTCTGATTACTCTTGTTACGTGGGAGCTCAGTATAGCATAGGTAATGGGTTCCCACAAGATTCGAGTATCGGTCGAGGTTAGCCCAAGAGTGATTCCAAGGTCTACTGAATGGGAAATCTATTAGGGTTTTTCTTTTTTCTACGAGTTCCTCATTTCAAGGAAGTTCCAACTTTTAAAGTTGTACAACCTTTTTAAGTTGTACATTCAAAAGTTCGTTTGACATAACAGCGCCCCTTGAAACGCAGTGATTTGAAAAATCAGTGAATGGAATGGTACTAAGGATTAGAGTGACTTTATTAGACATGTATACCGCCCTCACGGTGAGATATACCGCTTGCGGGTTGATGATGACCTGAACATCCGGGAGACTTGTCCGACTCCCCATCAATGGGTTACGTACCATGTGCAAACGCAACGCAACGCTATAGACTTCCCTGTTACTGGAACTAAACCAGTTCTCTCGTTTCAGACGTTGTCATGCTGCGGTGTGGCGAACTCAAGTGACTGGTCAGCTCTGGGTGCTATTCCTGACTCGTGCTGCATCGAAGCTGTAACTGGCTGCGCCAAGGAACTCGCACCACTTCATCCGAGTGGATGTATGGACAAAGTCGAAAGTAAGCAACTCTTGTCAGCTGGGGTCATGTGAGGGTTTTACATCATCAAAAGTTTAATAATGAGAGCTTATCAAAACTCCATCGGTCAAGCTTTTTGAGGCTTCCTTACTCCTGAATCCGACACTGTAAAACCGTCCTACCCTACTCTTTGACATGCAGGCCGGATTTTGATTGAACTCTTTCTTATAAGGTGGATTTGGCCACAGCTTTCTTCTCGAGGGAACCGTGACCTCTCCTGAGGCAGCGTTCATACTTCGCGACAGCAGCTGCGATCGCGGCGAC